AAACTAATAACCTAAAAGTATTATAGACCTAACTGAAAACAGATAATGATTAGAAAGGAAGGATTTTTAAGAAAGAAATAAGTGTTTGGTCTATATATGCACGGTAAAAAAAGGTATACAGTCCTTCCACACCCAGTTCATACGATCTTAAATTATAACTTTAAAATACATATAACCTCTATGGCATTATTTCTGTCAACAGATGTCAGCACCACTGCAAAATATGCTAAATCCGCAACGATTCTAGAAGTTTCTAATTTGATGTTTTTACTAACAATACAAGTGAAATCTAGTTTAGTTATTTAATTCATACAATCATAGAGAGAAGTTTGCTGAAAATTAATGTTAAATATAGGGTATTCGTACAGAGATATTTCGCGCCGCGCTTAAAAACAGGGACACGTTTAGATATGCATTGGTGTTTCAACCAAATAAACTCTTGATACCATAATCTCGGTGTCTCTACCACATAAACTATTGATACATTAATATAGGTGTTTTTACCAAATAAACTGTTCATACACTAATCTAGGTGTTTTTACCAAATAAACTGTTCATACACTAACCTCGGTTTTTCTGCCAAATACATTGTTGATACACTAACCTCGGTGTTTCCATTACATAAGCTGTTGATACAATAATCTCGGTGATTAAATTACATAAACTCTTGATACCATAATCTAGGTGTTTCTACCACATAAACTATTGATACACTAATCTAGGTGTTTTTACCAAATAAACTGTTCATACACTAATCTAGGTGTTTTTACCAAATAAACTATTGATACACTAATCTAGGTGTTTTTATCAAATAAACTGTTGATACACTAACCTCGGTATTTCTGCCAAATAAACTGTTGATACACTAACCTCGGTATTTCTGCCAAATACATTGTTGATACACTAACCTCGGTATCTCTGCCAAATACATTGTTGATACACTAACCTCGATGTTTCCATTACATAAGCTGTTGATACAATAATCTCGGTGATTAAATTACATAAGTTATTGGTGTTTCTACCAGAAATGTTGTTGATACATTAACACTACACGGGTCCTGATATTTCTAGTTGATGATATATTAGACCTGATATTTATAGCAAATGATAAGCTATTGATACACTAGTCCTGATGTTTCTTGTAAATAATAAGCTATTGACACTCCACTCCTGATATTTTAGTAGATATCAATTGTTGATACACTAGTCTTGACACTTTTAGTAAATTATAAACTGGTGATACGCTAATCCTAATATTTCTAGTAGATGATAATCTTTTGATACAGTAGTCCTGATATAGCTACTAGACGACAAGCTGTTGATACACTAGTCCTGATATTTTTAGTAGATCAAAAGTTTCTGATACTCCAGTCCCGATATTTCTAGTAGATGATAAGCTATTGATACACTACTCCTGATATTTCTAGTAGATGATAAGCTTTCGATACACTAGTTCTAATATTTCTAGTAGATAATAAGCTGTTGAAATAGTAGTCCTAATATTACTATTAGATGATAAGCTGTTAACACAGAAGTTCTGATATTTCTAATAGATATGCTGTTGACACAGTAATCCTGATATTTATAGTAAATGATAATCTTTTGATACATCAGTTCTGATTCTTCTAGTTTACCAGTATCTACAGCTTATAATATACAAGAACTATCAGGACAAACTTACCAACAGTTTATTATACATTAGAAATATCAGGACTAGTGTATCATCAGCTTATCATCTTCCTAGTAGATCATGGGCTATTGATACTCTTCTCCTAATATTTCTAGTAGATGATAAGCTGATGATACACTAGTCATAATATTTCTAGTATATGGTAGGCTATTACTATACTTGATATTTCTAGTAGATGAAAAGCTATTGATACACTAGTCATAATGTTCCTAGTTGATAAAAAACCTTTTCAAACACTACTTGTAATATTTATAATGAATGATAAGCTGTTGATACAGTGGGGCTGATATTTATAGTAAATGATAAGCTGTTGGTACAGTGGGGCTGATATTTATAGTAGATGATAAGCTGTTGATACAGTGGGGCTGATATTTATAGTAGATGATAAGCTGTTGATACTGTATTATTCATATTTCTTGTAGATGATAAGCTTTTGATACACTAGTCCTAATATTTCTATATTATGATAAGCCGTTGATACACCAGTCCTGATACTTTTAGTATATGATAAGCTGTTGATACAGTGATTTTGATATTTATATTAGATAGTAATACGATAGTCCTGATATTTCTAGTAGATGATTAGCTGTTGATATACCAGTTATGATACTTTTATTAGATAATAAGCTGTTTGTACAGTGGTTATTACATTTCTAGCAGTTAAGCTGTTTATACAGTAATCATGAGATTTCAAGTAAATGATAATCCTTTGATACACTAGTTCTGATACTTCTAGTAGATGAAAAGCTGATGATACAGTAGTCTTGACATTTCTAGTGTATAATAAGTTCTTAATACACTAGTCTTGATTCTTCTTGTAGACTATAAGGTGTTTAAACACCACTCCTGATACTTCTAGTACATGATAAGTTTTCGATATACTGGTCCTGATATTTCTATTAGATGATAAGCTGTTGATATACCAGTTCTAATGTTTCTAGTGTATCACAAGCTGTAGATACACGAGTCCTGATACTTCTAGTAGATGATAAACAGTTGGTACAGTAGTCCTGATATTTATAGTAGATGATAAGCTGTTGTTACACAAGTTCTGATATTTCTAGTTAAACATAAGCCGTTAATACATTAGTCTGGATATTTCTAGTAGATGATAAGCTGATGATACACTATTCCTGACATTGCTAGCGTATACTAAGTTGTAGATATACCAGCCATGATAGTTCTAGTAAATTTGAAGCAATATATATACACACTATTCCTTATATTTCTAGTAAATGATAAGCTGATACACTAGTCCTTATATTTCTAGTAAATGATAAGCTATTTATACACTGTTCCTGTTGATACAGTAGTCCCGATACTTCTAGTAGATGATGAGCTGTTAATATTCCAGTCTTGGTATGTCTAATAGAAAATAAGCTGGTGGTACACTAGTCCTGATATTTGTAGTAGATTATAAGCTGGTGGTACACTAGTCCTGATATTTGTAGTAGATTATAAGCTGGTGGTACACTAGTCCTGATATTTGTAGTATATTATAAGCTGGTGGTACACTAGTCCTGATATTTGTAGTATATTATAAGCTGTTGATACATTAGTCCTAATATTTCTAGTAAATAATAAGGTGTTTATACGCCAGTCATGTGATTTCTTGTTGATGGTAAGCTGTTAATACATCAGTCATGTGATTTCTTGTTGATGGTAAGCTGTTAATACAGTAGTCATGATATCTCTAGTTGATGAAGAGCTCTTGGTACAATTTTTCTGAAATGTTTTGTTAATGAGGCTGTTGGTACAGTAGTCTTGACGTTTCTAGTGTGAGATAAGCTGTTGATACAGTAGTCCTGATATTTCTAATAGATGATAAGCTGTTGATACAGTAGTCTTGACATATCTAGTGTATGATAAGCTGTTGATAAACTAGTCCTGATATTTCTAGTAGACCTTTACCTATGCACCTATACAAAAGTATTCATTTCATTATTGATTGAGATGTGTGTGTTTTAGGCTTGATGTTCGTGTAAATTTCTTGTATACAGACGTCTTAGTTCTAAGACAAATTTGTGTTACTATATGGTACAAATCAATTAAAGTTTGTTTTTCTCTCATACATACTAGCCTTTATTTGTCTTTTTTCATTCATAAGTTTGTTTTATAAAGTTTCATAGCAATCTTTTTATCTTGTTAAATATTATATCACTTATGACATCAGTTTAAGGCTTCCTTTCGTTTTCGTCTCTGATCTTAAGTTGCCAGTATGAATACGGTCTTCGGTAGTTGAGAATAAATCTTGTCATGTTCAATTGTGAATTCAATAATGCAGTGATGTGATTTTCTTTTCTTTTTTTTTTTTTTTTTTAGCGTGACGTAACGTTGTCCTTTATGTCAACCTAACGATAGGAGAACAAAATATTTTTGTTATGTCCGTGTGCGGCTCTCTGTTTGAAAACTACTAAACAAATTCGGTTTAAATTTACTTTTAGATGTAGTTGCTATAGTTCTACGATCTAAAAATAACTGGTTTTCTTAAGCGTTTTTTTTTTCACACTTATTGTTGTAAATAAAACATAATTTTTATGTAACTTATTTGTTTGGATTCCTCATTCATTACACAACCAGTTGAAAAAAAAAAAAAAAAGAGTTTGCCATGATGTTAAAAACTTACTGAATTTCACGATAATATCTGGTTTCTATTAGTACTATCGAAATGATTTATTAACCCCAAAATTACCAGTGTGTTATTATGCCTTTCACCACCAGAGTAGTCAGCTTGTTGTATCATATTAAGTTATTCTATGTTTTTTGTCTGTTACAACTAAAGTTAAACTTACGTGTATTTACTCGTTTTCTGGGACAGACATATAGGGCAGTAATTAGTGGGAGTAATTTTACTACTCATGGTATTTTTGTTCACATTTATATGTGACTCATGTGTTAATAACAATTCAACAATTTCATAAACCCAGAAATATTTTGGTGAATAAATAGTTTATAAAAGTGTGTACAAAAAGCTAGTTCGTGTGTATTCTATTTTAGAGTATTTTAGATCGATTTCAATGTAGATGTGTGTTCAGAAGTTCGTAACTATAACAACACAACAACGAATTAATTACACTGAAAGTTTCTTTATGTAGATGTGTGTTCAGAAGTTCGTAACAATAATAACACAACAACGAATTAATTACACTGAAAGTTTCTTTATGTAGATGTGTGTTCAGAAGTTCGTAACAATAATAACACAACAACGAATTAATTACACTGAAAGTTTCTTTATGTAGATGAGTGTTCAGAAGTTCCTAACAAAAACAACACAACAATGAACTGATTACACAGAAAGTTTCTTTATTAGTGACAAGAGAAGTAGCTGTCCACGCACTTTTGGTTCCTACGTACAATAAATAGCTGAACTTCACTAACAGTCTAGATATACAAATCTCGTTAATGCACTTGTGAATTAGCTAGATATACAACTGTACAATGAACTAACATACATTATAACAAAATGGAATTAAAACTAGGTGTTTTTGTCACATTGCATGGTAATATGAAATTAGTGTAAGATAATCTGTAAATACAGTTTTTGGAGACGTTGGCAGATATATATATATATATATTTGGAAGGGGTTATTGTAAACATCAAAATTTTTCCCCAGACTTAAATTGTTGGAATGGGGTAATATTAAGCATCAAAGCTTTCCCTCGATATGAAACACCTTTGAACACCCCCCCCCCCCACACACACACACATACAAACCGAACAAGGATGTCAGTTGTGCACTAGTTAAAGGTGTCTAAATCACCAGACGGATGCATCTCTGGACATCTTATGTTTTAAAATATAGAAAGTGGAACAGTCGTCATGACGAATCTACTCCAAACTTTTAAATCACTATTTTAACGATGTTAGCCATCATCTAAACGTAATCTGAAACTAGACAATTTTTAAACCAGTTCTCGAAACCTCAGGCTCTGTAACATGGAATAACTGACATATTTCCCTAATTTTTCCTGATTTATTATTTGGAGAAACCCTTCAATATCTTCAGGGGACATGAAGGTTTGTAAATATGTAAATAAAAATTAATGTTGGAAAGCTCAACTTGTTTTTTATTGTTGTTGTTGCCCTATTACTTTAAGCCTTTTGCTTTATTCTTTTTGCTTTGCTCACTTGATCAGATATAGACGTTTTTGCTCATCATCTCGTTTTGAGATAGTTTGACATAATTTGAGGTAATTTCATACAGCTTGCCAGTTTAATATAGTTGAGAAAGTTTGACATAGTCCGAGATAGTCTGATATATTTTGAGAAAGTGTAAAAGAAAGCGTTCATGATTTATAATTATATAGAAATATAATATTTACATTAAAAAAGCGTCACCAGCCCTACTTGTGACGTCAGACTAAGAAGATTTTCAATAGCGATGATTTGAAAATTAGTTTAAAAGACTATGAGGCTGTGTGGAAAGGTTAAGCAAAACAGTAATGGTAAACGAACTAAAAACACGCACGTGCTTTTAGTTTAATATTATACCATTGCAGGTTTCAGAAAGTTGTTTATTTTGTTTTTAAAAAACAAACTGATCACATTTGCTCCTTTCTCGTTTACTTCCTTTGAATTTAAGAATTATCAAAAACTATCCATGGCTGATGAAACCTTTGCTAAGAATGACAATGAGATTTACCTTCGATATGCTAACTCTAAACCAAAGAAAGCTAAGCGGCTGAAATCCGTCTTGGAACCGTTTTTCTTTGATAAGCAATAATCATAATAATCCCACTTTGAGAATCTTTCAGTATTACACTAGCACCTTGAATGAGTACTTTCGACCAACTCTTAACTTTTTTTTACTTAAGTCCAGTTTTAAAACTGACCGTTGGAGTAGATACTACGTCTTCATTATAGGTTGACGTGCCCTCTGTCTGTCCTGGCGCGCCCTCTATACTCGCTACTGAGTCCTCTGGCGTCTTAGAAACCTCGGTGATTTCGTGATCGTGGTCATGATGCTGCTTATGTTTGTGATGGAACGGCTGCAGAGAAAACCGGCGATGGGTCACCTTCCGGCCACCTCTTCTCTTGGAAATGTGGGGATTATCTTTTCTCATAGTTTTGTTACGTAGCGCTTGCAGTTGAGTATAAACACGTCGTAGTTCAGCCTAAGAACAATTTAAAGTCAGGAAGCTGAATTTGGAAATTTTTGATAAAGAATATCTACAACGTCTAAAGATCTAATATTATTAGCTACAACGTCTAAAGATCTAATATTATTATCTACAATGTCTAAAGATCTAATATTATTAGCTACAACGTCTAAAGATCTAATATTATTCCAAACAAAAATCTAACCATAAACTACAGGAAACTACAGGATTTAAACAGATTGTACAAATAATTATTTAGAATAATTTACTCTTTTTTTTTTGCTTCTATTGCAAGTGGATGTTTAAAGATTATAAAATATAGTTTAGAAAAATATCATCAATCCTACCTGTGTACGAAATTTAAAACTGTGTTTAAAAATAAAATTTGTGAACTTGCTTCATCCAGTAAAACTTCTAGAAGTGGATATTGTTTTGTAAATATTAAAATATAGTGAAAGACGCAGTAAACTCTTCGGTGTGACTGATTTATGATTTGTAGTCAATATATAGGTACAGTTTTTTTAAACATCACACGTGTAATATTGGTCTCACTTATTAATTCAAAATATCTAAGTAAAAATGCTGCCTAGTGGTGTTCACAACGCTTTCATCGTTACTTTTCCTCTCTTGGGGCTTAATATGAACCTACTTTTTATTAAATATAGAATAGAATTTAACATACAAAGTACATAATATACTCCACCCCATTCAAACATTTTTATAACCGTTACCCCATATTTCTAGAACGTATTCATGCTATTATTATTCACAGGTTGTCGATGTCCGCTGAAATAAAACCCTTTCAAAGGGAGATGACATTAAATGGGAGGGTTAATTACTGATGGCTTCTGGCACCAATCCGTGGAACTATGACGTCGCTGGTCACGTAACTTCCAGGCCTCAAAGGATACTCCACTGAGTGGTATCCCTTGATCTCACCTTCACGTGAAAGAGTTAACTACTGGTGTTGATCCATACATTATTATTTTTTTTTTTGTTAGCATTTAATGTTTTAAATCACGATAATCTTTTAGTCTTACTTTGATCTATCTGACTGGTCATGTGTATGTTTGTTTGAAGTTAAGTACAAAGCTACACAATGCTCTGCCCATCATGGGTATCGAAACCCGGTTTCTAGCGTTGTAAATCCGCAGACATACCGCTGCGGGGGGGGGGGCATATTGAAATTACCAAAACATAATAGTGTTGTATGTTGCTGCATTCCACCAAATCATTGTTTTTATACTGTACAGTTGTTCTATTTCCTATAATCATATGTAGAATCACAGATAACGTATTAGAGCCTTATATTTATTGTAATTCACCTATCCTTGTAGAGGTACACAGCTAGCTAAATGTAGTCATATCATATATGTTCTCATCCAAGATGTTATGCAACAGCCTGCAGATAAACATAAATTAATTTTGGCTATGATTGTCAATCGCGGATCTCCGGTAAAACAGATTATAAAATAATTAAACTTTTCCTGTTTTAGATAAGAAAAACGTTCGGTTCGAACACAAACAGCTAATCGAATATATAGAAAGATTCACAGTATTTCAGCCAATGCTGTTTTGGCTTTTGTGGTGTTGGGTAATGCTGATTGGCTATCTTCCCTATGGTCGGTAAGTTAAAACTGGGGATGCCTATACCTGTGTCATGAAACGTTTCAACTTAAGAATTCACGCTAATAACATATCAATAGTGTACTTGTACCCAGCATTAAAGAAGGGTTAATGGAAAGATTAGCAAACTAAAGGAACATTTATATACTACATAGCTTGGTTTGGAACAGCACGTGTTTGGTAATGATTTGACGATTGGTAACTTTCTGTTTTCATGTTATTAAGAAAGTAAACAAATCCCATGTTTTGTTTTTGGTGAATCTGCCTCCGTGTTGCTCACTTAACTTTCTCGACTTGGCGATCTGGGTAAGAATTATCGACTACATATTCCTGATATATTTAAATGAATACTATTTGTAACTGGTTTGTTAGTCAACAATAAAACAACCCAACACTGAGAGTTAACCCAAATACTGATAAAGGGGCCGTTCAGGTTTGACCCTCCACACACACACTACAGTACTCAGCGGTAAGTCTCTAGCTTATAATGCTGAAAAATGGGGTTTAGATACCCATGGTGGACACAATACAAATAGCTCATTGTATATCTTTGCGCTTAACAACATCCAAACCAGGTTTAAAATTTTTAATTCCTTGACTTTTACTTCATTGTGATTGACTATTTATGAACCAACTCTTCTGGTCAGAAAGTAATAAATGACATAACCTTTTGCTTGAACTTGTAATAATCCCCCCCCCCCCTCATTGGATCAGCGGTAAACTTATAGCGCTAAAATCCGGGTTTCGATACTCATGGTTGGCACAGCATAGATAGCCTATTTTGTAGCTTTGTGCTTAACAACAAACATACAAAACTTGTAATTATAACATAAACATTAATGACCAACATTTGTGCAAAAGTAAAGATAAACAGAAAGACATGTTTTATTAAAAGGTCATTTGATGAAAGTTGCATGTTCTGGCTAAGATTAACATTCGAACGATGTAGATCATCAACAAATTATGTACCTCAAGATCTGCATCTCGTTTCTAAGTTAATCTAGGTATATGTAGCTTTTCGTACAGAAGCAGTGAGTTGGAGTTCTGTACGAATGTCAGATTGACTGATGGGTAATGAACACACCCATTTCTTCCGCCAGAATAAAAATTGTTAATTTTTATTTCTCTTGTTTCAGAATGAGTACTTTATCAAAAACCAAATGTAGAGGGGGGGGGGAACGTTTAACGAGTGTTAAAATACTGGTAACCCGCCGGTTAAAACTAAACAAACACTCTTTTTTTTCTTTTTTTTACTTTTAAAGTATTGTACTCGATATTTTAATGTAATCGATACAGCTGTTTGTTTGTCTGATTGTTTAGTAAATATCAATTAAAAATTAAACATTAATTCAAATGGGAGAACGAAATATAAAGGTGTACAAACGGTAAAACTGTATAATTATTTCTTTACCTCCCTAAATGTATTTTCTGTTTTTTATATGCTCCCACACGAAAGAAGGGTGGATAGTAAAGATTGAAATACTGTATGACCACGGAAAAAATAAAAATAAAGTACTCTGATTATGAAACTATAACGTAAAATAGCAAGTGAATGTTTATTGGACGACGGTTGTGTTTGAATTAACAGCAGAAGGTAAGTTGTTCCTCAGCGTGTAACTTTATGGATAACTTCACCAGCACGTCACCTTATCGGTGACTTGCTCGGCAGTAAGTGACTTTGTAGGTGACTTATTTCCTACCATGTGACCTTATGGATGATTTGTTTCCAAGCAAGTGACTTTATGGGTGACTTACTTCCCAGTAAATGATTTTATAGATGATTTGTTTCCCAACACGTGACTTTCTCCTCAATGTACGAACTTATTGTGACTTGTTACTCAGCATATGACCATATACTTAAGGGAAATTACCACTTTGGTAAAGACAGAGAGATACATACTACATTTAATTCAGAACTAATATTGTGTTAAGAATTACAGATAATTAAATATTAGTTTATTATTTAATAAAATATGGGACAACTTGACAACCACGTTCAGACAGAATCAACAACATTCACCCAAACCACATTACAATTGGCCGCTCCGCTAATGACGCTCTGCATTTTTGCCACTTCGTATCGGTGATCTCATTGCCCACCACCTAGTGGCACATTTCGAAACTATCCGTCACTCTAGCGCTTCTAAGCAGCAGCTTTTCCTCTCCTCTACCACTCATTCCCACAGGATGTGAAATCTACTAACTTGTTTTATTATGACTATACAAGCGTGTTTACCCTAATATCTTCTGGATCCATATCTGCCAAGTTAATTTCCACTAAGTCGACTTCCCCATTTGACATAATGGCTTCGTGTAGCTTCAGAGAGTCTGGTAGGTGATCTTGTATGTCACAAGAGAGGTGTCGATTGGGATCAGATGGTCTATGGTGGTACCACAGCTGTGAACGAACATGTAATTTAATTTTGCTTCAAAGTTTTACAATTATATGTTTAGAATACAAGTTGGTTTCATGTATATTTAGTGTTAACTGGTTATCCTAAGCATACATGAAATTAGTTTATATTCAAGTTATCAATATCAAATATCATATTTTAATCTGCCAATATTCTTCCAATACTAATATAAAGAACTAGTCGACAAAGAGTGGCTATTAGTAAATATATATATATATGAATGATAATCTAATAGGATATTATCTAATCAGGATAATGTAATAGTAATTGTAGTAAATATAATAATTAAAGGTACGTAGATGCGAAATCAGTTTACGAGATTTCATAACTGGTGACAGACCTGATGGATCGAAAAATCCATCACCCTTAACTTTCATGTTAAGCCATTAACGAACATTAGATCGTGGCATATTGTCCCCACTAAGAAAATTAAAAATTAATATGCTCCAAGTCTTTATTGTGAAAAAAAAGTAATTAAAAGTTTGTCAAACAAAAAAAAAGTCTCTTTCAATCAACAAGAGGTTTCTTTACCTTTGGTCCGAAAATGAGCGCAAGAATGAATGTGACCGTCAGCTGGTATCGGAGAAAATAGAGAAAAAACAAGTAGTCCTGACCAAGAGACAACCACATCACACGTCTAGAAAATATAAAAAGTAAATTAGAAACAAGTATTTTGACCAAGTATTTTTGGGGCTGTGATGTCACACTGTTGAATAATGCAGTGGTAGGATAGTACACTGGAGGTTCGTATCACAAGTCTTATTTGTTTGTATATTTGATGTTAAGTACAAAGCTACACAATAGACTATCTGTGGTGTGCTCACTACGGGTATTAAAACTTTGTTCTTAGTGTTGTTCTATTAGGGGAGCACGCGTCTTAAAAAAAACTGAGTGGTTAAAAGAGAAAAAAGGATTTTAACTTCTGAGCAATAGTGAAAGACCCTTATCTTCAAAAAGCATGAGACATTTGTATCACTACAAAATGAGAAGTGCAAAATTTACTATAAAAATTAACACGAAAAAGGCTTAACAAAAATACAGTGGATAATACTCAATATTAGGATATTAGCAATCCTGAATATAGAAAAACACAAAACTTCTTTAATCTAAAGAACGGGCTCACCTGACAGTATGAGTGGTAATGGAGACGACAGTCTCGATGCAAATAGCAGCACAAAGTGGCCATTTCTCCCGGTAAAATTCTTTTCTTGCGTTACGGATACAATAAGTCAGGTAGATTCCCAAAAGAAGAAATAAAAACTCACCTGTGTTGAAAAAAAAGAGATGTTTTAACTAAAAGGACTTGAATAATAAAATGTTAAGCCTTTCACACCCATAAGTTGTGTAATATTCACTGACTAGTTCAATTGGTTCACACAAACGTTCCTTTTCGACACAAATAAAAACCTTAGTCAACAAAACAACAACAGAATATAACGAATAAAGTATTTAACTTAGATATAACATATCAAAATTAATCTATTTTGTTCCCATTTTAATAAAGTCTTTTTTTTTACGTTTTAAAGATTATGTATCCAACAATGTTTAACAAGCAATCTATGACTTAACGGCAACAGAAATGGTAGGTACTTTGTAAAAACCATATCCGATATTTAGTCTTCTGTTTTTCTGAAAATGTACAGGAATATGCATTATTTTATGACGAATCCAGAAATTTACGCTGATCTATAAGTGAATAAAATACAAAGAAGCTATTACTGTTTTATTTTTCAGTATAGTTTGGTGATTTTTACTCTAATTTAGACAGTCGTCATAGCATTATTGAAACATTTTGTAAAACTTGTGAGGAACTGCTAAGACATTGAGCCAGCATCTCTGAGTGTTTGTTCTTTTAGAGATGAAAACGAGGTCGATTTCAAAGCTAACCTGCAAATGTAAAGTAGTAAAATATCCAAAGTGTTACAAGTGTAAAATGTGTAGATGCAATCACAATAGTACATTAGTTCAAGAAGCTTAGGGGGAGGAGGTGCTATCAAACTTCCAAAGAAAAGTACGTCTGCATACAGGAGCGGTAAACTTATGCCCTTAAATGGGGAGGAGAACGATTCAAGATCAAGCAATTAACAGAGAATAGGAAGGCTTTTTCTGAGTTAAGTGTAAGAATTGTGACGTATTTATTATTATATATTTATTCTAATATAGAAGTTTGTTTAAATTAAACTTATATTTAGAAATGTACATAACTTATACTGTTAAATGTGTATTGCAAAACTTCCGCCTATTCTCTAAAGTTGTAAAAGATTCTCGATGGTAAGAATCAACAATATATGTGTGTACGTAAACGCTTGTGTTAACGTAAGTATTGTTATGTAAACTGA